TAATATTAGAGACATGCATAAATGTTTTCTACAAGAATTATGTATTTTTCATAATTTTTGCATTTTTATCTTTTTTAATTGTTATTATTTATTTATTTATTTATGACATCATAGGTTGACCCATTTGACATAGATGGTTGAATGTGCTTATTTACCACATGGATATGAGAACAATCTCAATTTTGGGTCAATTTTAGAAAGCATAGATTTTTTATTGTTAAAAGTATTGGATATAGATCTAGTCAATAGAATTTATTGGTGAGAAAAAATACCTTAAATATAGGATTTAATGAAAGAGAAATAGAGTTAATACATCAAATATAAGACTTAATGAAAGAAAATTGAATGAGAAAGTAGAAGTTTAATTTACATTTTCCCCTCACAATGAGAGAGAGAGAGATAAGTTAAAAAATATGGGTATTTTAGTTAAAAAAAAGTTCTACATGCTCATTTGTACTTTTAATAGTTGTATAGATGTAGATGCATTCAATTTTTTTATAATTTTTTATATTTCTATGCATATAAAATAATTCTTATTTATCACACTTATTTTTTGTTTAATACGATGATTATATAATATTAGAAATGTGCCCAATTTTTTTAACTTATGTATCTTTTCATTCTTTTGTGTTTTATGTTTTTTTTACTTTTATTCTTTAATTATGACATCAAAGGTTGATGCATTTGACCCAAAATTTTAATTTTTATCAAACAAATTTTTTCTTTAATATGATTAATATAAAATAGAGATGTATACATTTTTTATTTATGTAATTATTTCTATTTTAAAAGCTTCATTATTTAACTATGACATCATTAGTTGACCCATTTTACCTAGACAATTGAATTGCTTACCCACCACTTGGACCATTCGCATTGAGCCAAATTGAATATATATATATATATATATATATATATATATATATATATATATATATATATNTATATATATATATATATATATATATATATATATATATATATATATAAGTTTTATATCATTAAAAAGTATTGGATATATATCCAATTAGTAGAATTTATTAGTGAAAAAATATCTTAAATATATGATTTATAAGATATAGTAAGAATTAATATCTCAAATATAATGCTTAATGAGAAAGAATTAAATGAGGTGAAAATAGTAGTTCAAAATACGTTATCAGCACTCATGATTAGAGAGGGATTAAATTCAATAACAAAGTACTTTAGTCAAGAAGAAAAGTTGCACACCCTCATTCATGATTTTAATAGTAGCATATATATATATATATATATATATATATAAATGTATGCATTGATGTACTTATAGATGAACAAATTCATTAGACGTCAAATCGAATCATATATCGAATCTGAATCCATGCCTGAGTATCATCCCATCCAAACTTAATCCAATCCATTTGCAACTTTAATCATTCATGTCAAAACCAATCCAATCCACTAGCCAGGTCTCTCTAGGTAAATATTTCAAAAACCTAGTAGAGGAGAAGATACATTGAACTTTTGGGGGCTTGTCTTTAAAGATCAAGACTGTTTTGGTAAGTATTGCGGTCTACTAGGCTGTTAAAAATAGTTACAAATGCTATTATCATTTGGCATTTTGAAAAGACATGCCAAACACCACTTGCATTAATTGATGATACAGTTAATCCAGAATCTCAATCCCCCCCCCCAAAAAAAAAAGGAAATGACAAAATGGCCCATTTTGCAAATTCATTTAGAAAAATATCCCAAAAAAGGAAATGACAAAATAATCCATTTCGCAATTTCATTTAGAAAAATAAGAACTACATGCCTGAAGGGTTACATTGTCCTCCAAAAAGAAGGAATAGTGATTTAACCTGGTTTACAAACTTGTGTTGGTAGGTTCAATATAACTACCCACTGCATGATTTGCCAAACAGATGTGCCACCTGATCATGATTTATCCTAGAACCAGGTTAACAGAAATACGTTCTCATATGGTTTTTAAGCAAACACATTCTAATTCTAATAATATACAAAAAGTCCTGTTAAAAAAATATTAGATAGTATAAATCAGACAATACTTATTATAACCAAGTTGCGTTACTCAAAATTTATTAGATAATAAGATTTAGACGTAGTTGTGTTTGGTTTGAAGGAAAAAATAGGGAAAAGAAAAGGAAAGGTAGGATCTTTATAAACTTTGTATAGGTTTTCCTACCTTTTCATTTAAACCAAAAATAGCCTTAAGGAGTGTTTGGAAACATGGCTGATTTGTTTTGGCTGATGTGGTACTGTGGTAGTTTTTGTTTTCAAAAACAAAACCAACCATGTTGTCTAACACCCCCTTAGGAGGTATTTAGTACAATGGCAATGTGTTGTGGTTGCATTTTGGGTTGATCAATATAAATTTGTGAGATTTTTCTTACTTGAAATGTTTTGAAAACATTTTTAATTGATCAATACAAATTGATATTTCTACTTAAAACATCAAATTTGATGTTTGTCACACACATACATTCTTTTAGTTGAAATGACATCATACATGAGACCCATAACCATTTAACTTCTCATTGTGGGCCCTATGTGTTTTATCATTGGCATGGGGTGTAATTATTGGTTCCATAGCCTGTTGAACGGCCACTAGTTCAGCCAATCCAATTTCATTTCTCACAAATTTCTATTGATCAACCAAAAAATCAATGGCAACCCAACACTACTATTAAAATTTTTAAGGGAGATTACAAATAGGTATTATACTTTGGGGATAGTGATAGTTAAGGGCTTTAATTTTCAAGTGTGACAACCAATTACCCTAACCTTTTCAAAATCAACACTTTATGATTAACACTACTAACTGACGTGAGAATGGTTGGATTCTGATGCAAGGCCAGTTTGGTAGAACTAGAAACAGCTCCTTGTGAAATGGCCTTATAAAATATGTCAAAGGTAGTTTTGATTTTTTAAAACATTTTCAACTTACACATGACATCACATACTGCATATTGGTGATGGAATGCTGACTACTGGATTTGAGTGTTGATTTTTAGAACTTCAAAGTACTTGGCTGTCACATTTAGGGGTGTCAATTGGACTGGATTTGATTCAATCTGATCCAGTCCAATGTGAGTCCATTATAAATGGATCAGGTCCAATCCAATCCAATGAGTGTTTTGGACCATTTTGGATCGGTTCAATTCAATGTTTGGACTGTTCAATCTGTTCAAATTCATTTTGATTTAGATTGGTTTCAACCCAAATTCGGTCCATTGACACATATATTCTTATCTTATATCAATGGACTAGATATTGGCTTAATCCAACTCAATCCAATATAAATTTGTTACGGATGGGCCAAGTCCAATCCAATCTAATAAATATTTTGGACCGGATTGGTCCAATCCAATGTCTTGTTGGTTCATCCAATCCGTCCAAATTGATTTTGGACTGAATGGGGTCCAATCCAAAACCGGTCCATTGACACCCTTAGTAACATTTAATATTTTAAAATATTTTTTCAAGCCACACATGACATCACATTCCTTAGATTTAGTTTCTAAGGAGTACAAATACAAATATGTAAAATGCAAATACATACAAAATAATACAATATACAAGGTTTTGCACTCTACATATTTGTATCTGTACTCTTTCCAAACTGAGCTTAAGGCCGTGTTTGGTTACAGTGCAATTTTATTTACACCAGCACAAATGCTTGGGAGTACAAATGAAAATAATGCAAATTCTGATTTAATTTTGTTTTGAGTTTTATTTTATTCTTCTTCAAGTTTAAGTTTATTTCATTTATACTGCAATTAAAACAAAATAAGGTAATTTTAAATAAAATAAATCATAATTTACATTAAAGTCATTTGCACTTCTATGGTTTTGCATCAGTGCAAATAAATTTGCATTGCAATCAAACACCCTAAAGATCTTTTGTAAAATTTCTTAAGACGTCAGATCAGGCCAGGGTCATCTAGCTGAGCTAGAATCATACCAAAGTCAACTTGTGACTAAGCTTTAGGTCCAAGACACCCTACCCAATTATACTTCAGTTGTGTCAGTTGGGCCTTGCATTGACCAGGCCTAAGTGGCGGCACTAGCGAAGCCATACTAATAATAAAAGTGTGCAACTTCTATCTAATTAAAATACCCCATTTTGTTGGAAAAATTCTCAATTAATATTGGTCCTTGAACTTTAAAATGCAATAATTTAGTATTCAAACTTTTAAAGTGTGTCAATCCAATACTTAATTATCCGTTAATCAGCTGGCACTTGAAAAGACACAAATAACTTTTGAGTATCATCTAATTTTCTTTATTAATCATTCAAATGTTGACAAAAAATGAAGTGTCCCAAATCATTTTCTCTTTTATTCAGGAAAGTTGGAGTCATATCGTTTATTTTTTGTCAACATTTAGATGATTGATAAAGAAAATTAGGTGATACTTGAAGGGCATTTGTGTTTTTTCAAATGCCACTTAATGGTTGATTAACGACTAGTTAATGGTAGGTACTAGATTGGCACGTTTTGAAAAATTTGGATACTAAATTGTCGCATTTTAAAGTTTGGCAACCAACATGGCACTAGACCCAAAGTACAAGTATTAATTCGGAAATTTCCCTTTGCCTCTTCTCTAATTATAAGGACATAAGTGCAATTTGAACAATCACTTTTCTCCTCATTCAATTTTTCTGATTATGCCTTATATTTAAGGTATTAATTCCCACTAACATTTATCCCTTTCTAATTATGAGGGCACAAAATATAATTTACACTATTATATTTTTCCATTTAATTCCCTGTTATTAAATTTTATATTTAGAGTATTATCATATTAATTTCCAATAAGTATAAAAAATACAAAAAAAAAATTTATAGAAAACATTTAAGCATATCTCTATATCCATCATTAAACAAATAAAAAATATTTTTTATAGATTTAAAAATATAAAAAATTGAGAAACATGATCATCAAAATTGTTTTGACGTGCACATTTACACATAGTACAGGGTGCGCTCTATACACACTCCCGTCGCCTTGAAAGCTGGTCACTTGGTCAGCTCTCAGCTGTAGCCTTTGCGCGCGATTCAAACATTATGGAGGAAGTGGACGAAACAGAAGTCGAGCCGGAGGTGAGTTTCTTACCTTAGTTCTGATCTCTGTATAGGACTTGGCTTCCTTATCTGATTATACTTACGATACAAAGCTATTTCGTTCGAATAGTGGAAAGCTCATCCGAAATTCGATCACCTTCGCCGATAAAGACGAACATATTCTTAATTCTAAGTGCTTACTGCAAGTTTGGTCGTTTTTCTTACTAGTGCTTTTTTTTTTTTTAATATTCTATTCCCTGCTTCTCTGAAAGAAGTCCAATGTGATTGAAATTAAGGATCACAATGCAGAAACTATGTCTATCTGGTTTGTATCTTCTCTAATTCCGATTAAACAGGATAAATTATACATGCGTTCACAGATAAAGAAGAACATATTCATATTCCTACATGATCTAAATGCATTTATTTATCCATGTATAAATAAGCTTTTGCTCATTCTATTGGTTAATTCATTTATTTGTTCGTTGATTTACATTGCAGGTTTACATGGCATGCATCATGCAAGGCCAACGGTTAGTAACTATTAATTTATCACAACTAATCACGATACAGAGGTGTTATAGGGAAATCAGCGCTCTACATAAGTCTTCTTTTGTTTTCTCCTCCGCTTAATTGTAATGAGGGTTCTGATAACGGGAAAACAAGCTTTTCTTCTTTTGTGAGTAAGCCTTGTAAGTTGTCTCTGATATATTAAGATTTTCACTAAGATCCATCCGATATCATTAACCTAAAAGGAGCATACTTGAAAATGGATTCTTAATATTGTAGAACTCGATTGATTCTGCATATTGATTTCCTATGTATAGATGGAGACCTATGTAAAAATTGAACTCATTCTTGGAAACTTGAAGTTTGTTTGAGAAATGAATTGCTGTAAAGTGGTTTGGAGAAATCTCCCTTACACGGCATCTAATCCAGACCTTGGGGTTGATACGACTTGATTTAGCAATGCTTTTCCTGTGGTCCATAGCTCATATTCCTTCCAACTGTGCAAGGAATCTGAATGATATAATGACTCCAAATGATCTAGTATTTGGTGTATATTCATGGGATGGCACCTTATCGTATGGAGGATATCAGAATCGTTTTAATAAAATCTGCAGGTTTGGTTTGATCGAATATGGCTGCCGAACCTATTTCTGATTCTTTCATATATGGTTGTTTTTGAGGAGTTACATGAATTGTGATTATGAAGGCGTCTTTCCACCAATTACTTAGAACAGAGAATGGTATTACCAAGGAGTGTGAGATGAAGAAAGTCATTACCCTAGTGAAATGATATTTATTCTCAATTGTAAATAGATTTCTTACTCCTTTCTTTCAAAGCTAAGTAAAAAGAAAATAAATTAGTCAGGCTCAGAACTAAGAAAAGAATAAATAATCACAATAGTAACCATCACAAAAGGTTTGTCTTGACAATGGAGTAGGAATAGAAAATTGGAAACAAACATAATCAGTAGACAAAGATTTGGGGCAGTGAATAACATATAAGGATTTAAGGCTACCTACAGATTCTGTATTTTATATATGACAAAAAGATACAATGAGATGCCTTCACTATCGGCAATGATTGATCCAAATTCATTACTGAAAACCTAGTTCAAAAAGAAAAAAAATCTAACCAATATGAACCAAATTGCTGGCCTTAGCAATATAGTGATGAAAGGTTAAGATGAATTTGGCTCAGATGTTGGTAACTATATTGGTTGAATTCCAGCAGGTGCTTTTTTTGGCACTAATGAATTTGCAACTTCTTACTGCCAGAATTGGAGTTTCTTACTATGATTCTAGTATCCAACAACTGTACGTCCTGGAACTGTGGGAGGATGGCAGTGCAGATTTTCCCTTAATTGACATTGGTAGGTGCTTCGCTTCTTGGTTGCTAGATTATCCAAGTGGATCCAACCCCTTAAATCATCTATTTTATGTCATGGTTCCCTCTCCTGCCTCCCTCCCTCTTTCTCTTTCTGATCAACCAACCCCTAAAATTCAATTATCCTGTAACATCTATTCTTGATAATTAGGAAGTCTTGATTTTTAACTCAAGGAAAGCCTTCAGTTAGATTTGATTTTTTTCATGTCAGTGGATTCTTTCTAGAACCATATGTGTCTTTCATGTTCATTAGTTTATTTTATATTGTTCAGTAAAATATCAAGCCAAACCCTCGATCATTTATACAAGCACTAAAGCTGAAGAATCCTTCCTTGCTGCTTTACAAAGAAGTGGTATATTACTAAAAACTTGATTGAATATGACCAAATTCAACTTGTCTGTTGCTGACTTTGAGAAATGACATAGAAGGAATTCAAGGTCCTGTGGTGAAGCTCATGAAAAGCTCCATATTCAGCTATGAACAAGCATGGCACAGGTACAAAACATGAGTACCATACTCAGATGATGCTTTTTATATTCTTCTTTGTCAAGCTCTATACTTGATACATTTATGACATTACAATCACCTGGAGCTCTCTTGATAGGATTTTATGTGGACATCCTTCATAGAAATAGACTTCAGTTGATCTTACATATTATATCTCAGGCAGCAATAACAGGAGAACATCCATAGAGTGGGTTAGAAAGAAGTTGCTTCACCCAAGTAACCTTCTTGTTATTACTATAATAGTAATACTTGGTCTTGGTTTTGTTTGCAGAGGCTTTATAAAAGAGTTCATGCATCTTCTTTGCAGTGTTGTATCGTTTAACTTATGAAATCCAAACTTGTTTTTAATAATTAATAATTTCACGTATTCAAAAATGTTTCTGAAATACCATTTTCTAATATTCCATTGCCTTCTATAAATAATGCTTCTCTTAATAGCTTAATGCTGGACAGTTGATACATTGGATCTTATGCTAAAACGTGCTTATATGTGGGACTATAGTTATCTAAATTGCTTGCATCATTAAGGACCACTAACCAATTTGGTGGCAGCTGTCTGAGATCTTGGGAGGGGTGGATTGTAACATTTCCAAATTGCAAATGGTATCAATTCACAACTCAGTTAGCATTAATTTGGATGATAGAAGAAAACATAAAATTTGGGTAAAGAAGTATAATGGAAAGAAGTATAATGGAAGAAATTTAATTCTGAAAAGAGAAACTAAAAGTGGGAACTAAAAGATCTTCCCTTTACATTGCATTGTGCATTTGTCTCAGATTTAAAGAAGTTTTTCTATTATATATAAATTCCTGTTCTTATGTGCAAATCCTGTACAATGAATACACATGCACCATACCTATAAATACCAAAAAAAAATTATATTTTGTAAAACACCCATAAAAAATAATTCTATGGACTGCAAATTGAAGAACAAAGAGAAAAAAAAAACTAAATATAATCCTACCACTGGTGAATCTGGTTTTCTTAGGGTTGTGAAATCATGAACCTTCGAGCTTGAACTTGAACCAAGTGAACCAAAAAAATAAGGTAACTACCCTGGGACTCATGCAGCAATTCCTGTGACAAAATATTGACACTCACATTGGAGTCATGCCCTGATAGCCTAAAATAACCTCTGCAAGATTGTGGATGTTGTAATTGTATGATCTGTCAGTATATGCATGTTTTTATGTGTATTTCAGCATATTCAAACTATATATGGCAATGATATAAATAAATGAGTGATAGAAGTGTTCTTGTTCATAAAATCTCTTGCAACCAACGAAATTTATATAAGCTAGAAATGGATGCAGAGGTAGTTCCAATAGGTAACATGGCGAAGAAGAGTCAACTAAAATGGTTTAGTCATGGTGTCATGTACAAGAAAGACCAGATTCCACCATGAGGGAGGAGAAATTATTTGTTGCCAATTAAGAAGTAGAAGTATAGACAAAGGTAGTGAAAAGAAATTTAGTAACTTGCCTTGGAAAAAATGTACTTCCAAGTTAGAGTGGAAATGGTGGGATTTATGTAGCCAACCCTGAATGGTTGGGATAAGACTTTGTTAATTAATTTATTATAACAATGCTACCATGTATTTGAAATTGACGGGTCATTTATTCATGAGCAGAGTCCATTTGTTGCTTGCTTTTCTAATACTTCCTGAATGGCTTGGTGGATAAGCCTGCATAATTATTTATATTAGAACTGAATTTAAAATTAAATAAGCTAAATTACATGGATGTCCTATCTTGAAATATAATTTTCACAAGTAAAGATGATCCAATTAAAAAATATATATTATTAATTTTAAATGAGCAGGTAAACAAGTTTGCAAAACTTAGTTTTCTCTTTCAGTAAACTTAAGGATTGTTGAAGTTTG